GCTTGGGGCCGGCCCCGCCCGCCCCCTGCGCCCCCTCCTCGGGGATGTGCACCAGCGGCTGTGGGCCGGCCCGCGAAGGGAGGATGACACGGGGCCCAAGCCCGGGCCGCGCCTGGACAGTGGGGTAGAGCGAGGGTGGGGTGGGGCTGGCCTCCTCGTCCTCCTCTGGCTCCTCGTCCTGCTCCTCCTGCTCCTCCCCTTCCTCTTCCTCTTCCTCCTCCTCCGCCATGGGCTCTGCTGGCACCCGCAGGTGCCCGGGGCTGGCCTCCTCAGGCAGGCCCAGGCCGCGGCGCTCCAGGGACTTCTGCTTCCACTCGCGGATGAGCTGCTTGGAGCGCGAGGCGGGCTGGCCTCCTCGTCCTCCTCTGGCTCCTCGTCCTGCTCCTCCTGCTCCTCCCCTTCCTCTTCCTCTTCCTCCTCCTCCGCCATGGGCTCTGCTGGCACCCGCAGGTGCCCGGGGCTGGCCTCCTCAGGCAGGCCCAGGCCGCGGCGCTCCAGGGACTTCTGCTTCCACTCGCGGATGAGCTGCTTGGAGCGCGAGGCGTCCAGCGGCACGTGGATGGTCATGTGGCGGCGGGCGGGGTCGTCCAGCGAGGGCGTGCTGACACGGGGCAGGGTGTTGCTGAAGGTCACCATGTTCTCTTTGCCCATGGGGCTGCGTGGCGCCAGCAGGTCCACATCCACGCTGGCCCGCTTCAGGCTGCCCAGAGAGGTCTTCTCACGGGCCACGGGGCGCGGCCCGCCCTCCAGGCGCCCGGGCGGGCCCAACTCATCCGTGCTCGCAGACTTGTTCTGCTGGTACACCGAGTCGTGGCCACGCTGGGTCAGGGCCCGCAGCGCGTCCTTGGTGGGGGGTGGGGCCACGGGCTTCTCGGCCAGTGGGGCCTGGAAGTTGCCCACGGCGTGGCAGGCCTGTGGGAGGTGCTGCCCTGAGTCCCGGCTGGGCCACGGTGTCAGCCCCCACCGCAGCCCTGCTCCGGGACTCCTGCTCACTCACCAGGTAGGCCGCGATGCCGGCGCCGATGAGGAAGCCGGCGTAGACGTCCACAGGGTGGCTGCGGTACTGGGTGACCTGGGTGAGGCCGCAGACACCCGCGGCAATGGCGAAGGTGAACACCAGGATGGGCTTGAGCAGCTTGGTGGCGTCGGAGATGACGGAGTTGAAGTACATCTGGGGGTGACAGGGGGTCAGGGCCTCGGGGCGGGGTGGGGCGGGGCAGGGCAGGGGCACTCACCGACACGTATACCGCGGCGAAGGCTGACAGCGTGGCATGCTGCGATGGGAAGGTCTTCCTGTAAGGGTGCCCAGTGAGAGCCGGCCGCGCCCCTCCCCGCGGCCCGCCATGCTTGTCGCCGCCGCCCCAGCTCACCGCGCAGACAGGATGGCGTGGGCGTCGTGGCCGGCGCAGATGTCCTGCGTGATGTAGGGGTTGGCCTCGCAAGGCGTGCCCAGCAGCGTGTAGTTGGGCTTGCACACGGTGAGGAAGAAGGGGGCGTGATAGCCCGTGGCCAGCTGGATGACGTCGGTCACCAGGGCCGTGGCACACAGCCCGAACACATGCACACCTGCGGGCGGGAGGGTCAGCGGCGAGCCAGCCCCCGTCCCCGGCCACCCCGGCCCAGCTGACTCACCCACGAAGCGCACCGTGCGCCGCAGGAAGGAGTTGAAGTTGCAGCCGCCGGCGTTGATGCTGCCCTCGGCGCGGCCTGGGCCTCCACGGCCCCACAGCCGGGACTGCAGGCAGTACAGCACGCCCTCGCCGACCATGATCTGCCGACAGCAGGGTCTCAGCCAGGCTGTTGCCGAGCCACCCCCAGTCCCAGCCCAGGAACTCACCGAGGCGGCAGGCGCGGCGAAGGCCAGGCTGAGGAGCATGAGCAGAGGGATGAGCTCCTCGCTGCTCTCCACGTAGGGCATGGACAGCGTGCGGTCGTAGCACTGAAAGCCCACCTTGGCTGGCTTGAAGAGGTCGGTCAGCTCCAGGAAGTACAGTGACACCACAGAGGAGGCCACAATGGGCAGCTGTGGGGACATGCAGGGTGGCACCCCGCCCTCCATGCGTTCAGTGTGACCCATGGAGCCGGGCCGTAGCCATGGCCTTCTTGAGCCGCCCACCCACCACCCATCACTCGCATCCACCCAACATCCATCCATCCATCACACGTCACCCATCATCCATCACTTGTCATCCACCCACCCTTCACCATCCATTACCCATCTATCCATTGTCCATCCATCATCCACCACTCGTCATCCACCTAACATCTACCCACATCCGTCACCCATCATCCATCCACAATCCATCTGCCATACATCAACCACCAACCATCCATCAAATCGTCTAAGAATGTAAAAATAACTAGTGCCATATAATTCCTCTGATCTTTTTTAGGGGACAATCTAATAAACACATATAACTTCCTTCAGCCTGATACTAGGCAGTATCGGAGTATTGGGTATTAACAAAAAAAAACCATTGACAACAGGCCAATACTGCTTTTATATGTAAATGTTTCTCAATAGCTTTGCCAAAGTAGCTTACAGAAGTGCATTTCTGCACGTGTCTACAGGTCACATGTTTAAATTAAATGTTTTCAAATTGACTGCTCTACACATCCACCCATCACCCAAAATCCATCTATCTCACATCATCCATCACACATGATCCATCATCACACATCATTCATCATCACACATCACTCATCATCCATCATCCATCACCCATCACCCATCATCACCCATCATCACACATCATCCATCACACATCATCATCAATCACACATCATCACACATTATCACCCATCATCCATCATCACATCATCCACCATCAGACATCAACCATCACATATCATCCATCATCACACATCATCCATCACATATCATCCATCATCACACATCATCCATCACATATCACACATCATCCATCACACATCATCAATCACACATCATCATCACACATCACTCATCATCCATCACACATTATCACCCATCATCCATCATCACACATCATCCACCATCAGACATCAACCATCACACATCATTCATCATCACACATCATCATCACACATCATCCATCACACATCATCACCCATCATCCCACATCATCCATCATCACACATGTCCATCATCACACATCATCACAATCATCCATCACACATCACCCATCATCACACATCATCCATCACACATCATCCATCATCACACATCATCCATCACACATCATCCATCATCACACATCATCCATCACACATCATCCCTCATCACACATCACCCATCATCATCACACATCATCATCACACATCACTCATCATCCCATCATCATCATCACCCCTCATCACACATCACCCATCATCATCACACATCATCATCACACATCACTCATCATCCATCATCATCCGTCACCCATCATCCATCATTACACATCATCCGTCACACATCATCATCCATCATCATCCATATCCATCATCACACATCATCATCACCCATCATCCATCACCCATCATCACCTATCATCCATCATCACACATCATCCATCACACATCATCATCCATCATCACCCATATCCATCATTACCCATCATCCATTACCCATCATCCCTCATCACCCATCATCACCCATCACCCATCATCACACATCATCTATCAGACGTCATCATCGCACATCACACATCATCCATCACCCATCACCACCCATCATCCATCAACCCATCCATACATCACCCATCCATACATCACACATTATCCATCACCCATCCATACATCACCCATTCATCCATCGTCCCTCCACTATCATCCATCCACAATCCGTCCACCATATATCACCCACCAAACATCCATCAACCATCCATCACCTATCCATCCACCATCTATCCACCATCCATCATCCTCCCACCATCCATCCATCATCCATCAATCATCCACCCATCATCCATCCACCCTTCATCATCCACCATCCATTCACCAACCATCACCCATCATCCATCCTCACCAACCATCTATCATCCACCCACTATGCAATATCCATCCATTATCCACAATCCACTATACATCCACCTACCCTCCATCATCCATCCACCATCCATCATTCACCATCCTTTATCCACCCACTGTCCATCCACTATCCATCATCCAACCACCATCCATCGTCCACCCATCATCCAACATCCGTCATCCATCCAT